GAGGAGGAGAGAGGAGGAGGAGAGGAGGAGGAGGAGGAGGAAGAGGAGGAGGGGAGAGGAGGAGGAGGAGGAGGAGGAGGAGGAGGAGAGGAGGAGGAGGAGGAGGAGGAGGAGGAGGAGGAGGAGGAGAGGAGGTATTATATACTGAAGAAGATTGTTGGCTACAGTAAGTTTTCACATTTAAAATCATTGTTGTAAACTGGATATACTGTATGTAAGCAAAATATAAATGACCAAATTTAACAGACAGTTCAAAGTATAGTTGTTGTTTTTTTTACCAGAGTGCCGATGGTGTCCTCGCTCTGCTTCACCTGTTCAGACATCATCCTGCTGATCGACATCAAACTCTCGGTGATGTTGCTGCTGGTTTCCACAAGGCATTCTTTTGTCACCTTCCTGAAACAAAAACACACAGCGCAGACCACTGCTGATGACTGGTTGCGGGTCACTAATATGTTGTGTATAAAGTGTGCAGCTAGTTAAAGTCACAGAAATGTGTGTTTCTGAAAAGATGTGTCTCTTGAAAGAGCATCCTGTTTCTACCAGCAGAGATTATTTAAGTATCATTATATAAACATTTGAGTAGTAAACATAATGACCCATCACAAATGACTGGAAACTAATCACTGTCAAAAGTCCCATTTGAACAGGATCATTATATCAGAGGAAATAGATGGATAAAAATCTGTCCCCTCCTCCTTAATGACAGACTGCTGTAACCGGACTGCATTTTAATCATTGGCAAATAACAGGTAGCATTATTACGTCCTATTCCCAAACAACAACATGCTTCCTGGAGAACCTTTATTACTGGGCTATTATTATTTTGAATGTTCAAATTCTGAATAGTAATAATCTGAGGCTGATAATTAAATGCATGTAATACAGTCTGCAACCTACTTAAATGTCTGTACATTTAAATTTCATCAAGTAGTGTCACTTTTACAGCGAAGAAAAAAACACGTTTCTAGACCAGTGTGTCGTCACAGTCCTGTTTCCAAATCAAGAGATACACTTTCTACATTTGCAAAAAGTCTCATCCAGACTGGATTCATATTACGAGAAGACCAGATGTTTGCCAGAAAAGTAGTAAGTTAACAGAGGTCTAACTACAATTGGGATGGGGGGATGGTGATTTAGCTTGACCTGCTTAATACACGCTATCAATCAATCAATAGGATACGGCTGTAATAGGCCAAGGGCCTTTTAGTCGCTCAGTCAAATAAGTAGATCACTCTTTACTTATATACTATGGATGCTGGCAACAGTCACATAGTCCAAAGTGAAGGTGATGTTAGACCAGTAATAGTTGAGGCGGGACTTGAACAGTTGACAGTCTTGGATGTGACAACGCTTTCTGGCAGATCATTCCACAAATCAACCACACGCAGGCTGAACAAGTTGTGGCAGAGAGTCAGTCTTGAGTACTGTTTCTTCAACTTGAGGCAGTGTCCACGAGTCCTGGTGTTATAATCCCGTTGTAGTGGGCATGATGTTTTGTAGATGTTGTGGAGATATTTGAAAACTTCGATCATATCTCCCTCGCCCTTCTATAATACATGCTCGGGATCTTAAGACTTCGCAGTCGTTCTTGATATGGTAGGTCCTTAGTTCTGCAACCAGCTTCGTTGCCCTTTTCTGTATTTCCTCGATGAGCTCAGCATCCTTTTTGTACATGGGGGACCAAGCGACATTCCCATACTCGAGGAGTGGCGCGTGCAATAGAGGTGTATAAAACTATGTACTACATCAGAGTCCAAATAAGTGTATGATATGCGGATCGTTGCTAGGATACTATTCGCTTTGTTAGCTGCCCGATGGATATGGTCACTAAATGTCAGGGTATTATCAACATTCACAGCAAGGTCCTTTTCATTCTGAGTCTCAGATTGTTTGATTTATCACACCTATTCAGTGTTGGGACTAACGCGTTACAAACTAACGCGTTACTGTAACGCAACTACCTTTTGCGGTAACTAATAACGTTACTAGTTACCTATTCAGTAACGCCGTTATAGTTACTGTGATTTAAATGGGTGCGTTACTGCGTTACATTATTATGTGATCCAACTGAACCAAATCTCCCTGCGGATGTAACTTACAGGCGAATACAGCGATGTCCTCTCACAGTACCATGGAAAAGTGAAAGTGACCAGAGAGGAGTGATGATTGGTTAACGCAGGGTAACATTTCAGGGTAAGCCAATCAGAGACAGAGTTGGGCGGGTCTTGCCTTATGGGGAAAATACACAGAGAATGTGTGCAGCTTTCAACAAATTGACTGCATTCTTCAACTTATCGACATGAGGCCATAAATAATACCGAATTCAACTCATATTAGCTCTATAAAATGAGAACGCAGATGTGTGTCCACACTCTAAATACTTGTGTATCAATGTGTGTATGTGTGTGTTTGTGCCATGAGACAGAAACTAATTGGTGTCAATAAGACATCTGTGGCTCCTCTTTGATTAAGCCTGCAGGCTAGGAATAGGAGAAAAACACCTCACAAACACAATAACACCCCCCCACACACACACACACACACACACACACACACACACACACACACACCACACACACACACACCCACACACACACACACACACACACACACACACACACACACACACACACCCACACACACACACACACACACACAACACACACACACACACACACACACACACACACACACACACACACACACACACACAAACACACACACACACACAGATCAGCGAGAGCAGCAGCGCATTTAAAACTTGGAGATATAACCACTATTTTCAATTTGTGGGAATAAAGGACGCAAAAAATATTACGGTCAAATGTAAACTGTGTGCAGGACAGAAAGCATTGTCCACATCGAATAACAGCAATGCCAATCTCCTGAAGCACCTAACTAATGTACATGTGGGGAGTTGTCTTTTCTCTTACTGTGCCACAGAACACAAAAACTTGTATTTTTATTGTTATTATTTTTAAAGTAACTTGTTACTAGTTACTTTTATAATTCAGTAACTAATAAAGTAACTAGTTACTTTTTTGAGAGCAGTAACTATAACTATTACTAGTTACTATTTTAAAGTAACTTGCCCAACACTGCACCTATTATACTCATATGTTGGGTTCAGAAGACCTAAGTGCATTACTTTGCACTTTGCTGCATTGAATTTGAGCTGCCAACACTCGGACCATCTTTGCATTTCTCTGAGATCTGACTGGAGTTGTTCTGCATCCTCCTTACCATATGTATGATGGTATAGGGCTGACTCATTGTACAAACCTCTGTCTGGTGCTCTGGTAGTCTCCTCCTTGCAGCAGCTCGTCCTTCTCACTGTGGTCGATGCAGAGTTTACAGGCCAGGTTTGCTTTCCTCCATGCTGTCTGGTTACTGAAATCCAAAGAAATATCTCAGTTTACATCTGGCCTGTTGTTTCTGAATCTGTTGCTTAATCCCAATATTAGTTTTGTCTTCATTTGGGAGTCCCTTTGGCTTCAGATATCTACTGCACATTCTGCTCAAGGGTCAACAACTAGAAGGTGAATTATGTCCTAAAAGCATAATTAATATTATAAATTAGAGGCTACCTTTCTACAAAATGTAAACTATTACAGCCCTTTTTATTACTAACTTCAGGACACAGAGACACAACCTAACCTGTTGGCACTTTGCAAAGTTGAGCTAAAACTGTTAGTTTGGTAATCGAATATCAGCCCACAGAAAAATAATCGCCAATTAATTTTTGATAATTGATTAATAATCAACGTACTTTTTGTTCAAGAAATGGCAACAAAAAAAATGTTTTGTGATATTGTGGTTATGAACCTAACTATCTTTTGGTTTTGGATTTAGAATTCAAACACGTAATCCAGGGCTCGACAGTAACGGTTGCCATTGGCAACCATTCAGAAGAAATGTCAACCACTTCTTGGCAAGAAGAAAGAAATAAGAACAGCAAACAGCAAAATGTGCACCCCAAATGCATAAATGTTAATTATTTGTTGTATTAAGAGTGTATTTAATTATTGTTGTGACCAGTCGGAACCTGATACTTAAGTTGCACGTGCATTGGTGTGATTACGATGCCAGAAGCAATGCACGTTTACTAGCGACTCGCGGTGGCGCCTTGGTTTGTTTTACAAAAAATGGCGAAGCAAATTAAGTTGTTTGACTGTGGGGTAAAAACTTCGGCCAACCCGTCAACTTCTCAAACGAATGTTCAAAGTGATTCAACTGATAAAGCGCAAGGTGAACCCGAACGAAAAGCAAAGAGGAAATGAATAAAGTATTTGGGAGGCGAAACATTCTGCTTCGTTGTGGCATTCCACTTCCGGTAAAAGTTCCTTCAAAAATAAGAGTCCGATCTTATTACTACCAAAATAAAAGTGCAAAACGAAACTTTACCAGAGGAAAATATTGGCATACAAATATAATCATTTCTATAAAAAAGGTAAATTTTAAATATAGTTAGACATATTAAAGGTACAGCATTAATAATTAATATATAATTCTTAACTGTGAATGGTTTCATTTATTTAACACTAGAATGTAGTAGTCTGGCCAATCCAAGACTTCAATGAAGGGCCAATGGATCTATGGTGGGGGTCAGCACAAAGGTCAGGAAAACCCACATTTGAAAGGGAGACAACGGATGACCAAGAAACGAGGTGACTTGCTCAGTTCATTTGTGAGGGATCTGTGAAGAACATGACAACAGCTCTGCATATTTAGTATACCAGCAATTGAGGGTGGACAAGTTTACTTAAGTTTCAAATAATTGTGTTAATTACTTATTGTAAAGCATTTGAACATTCTTTTGTATCACATGTTCATTATTAAGTTGATGTATAACTGTATAGTATCTTAATTATTTAAAATATAAGGTGACTAAAAAATGGCAACCGTATTTTCAGTTTTTGGCAACCAAAAGCTGATGCCTGGTTGCCAGCCTGGCAACCACTTTTAGAAGTTAGCGTTGAGCCCTGTAATCCTTCACAATCTTTTTATATTTACAAACAAAATCCACTCGTCTAGAATAATCTGCAAATGAATCTTTAAGACAATAAATGCATTTTAATGATTGATACTGAACGCTGGCTTTTGATAATGATTTGTTCACACCTCAGCATTTGTCTCCGCTGGCTCTCTGTCTCTGACAGGATGGCCAGTCTGTCCGTCTCTCTGTCCTGCTCTCTGGCCATCTGCTCCAGATCCTGACAACAACACAGCAGTCATACAATAGATTGAATATTAACAAGTGAGTGAGTAGGGGGAGGGATATGTGTGGTACATGCTATACTAAGAGTTAGTTATGATTATTTAAGACATACTACATGATGAATAGTTTTGAATGCATTGTAACATACTGTGATCTTTTTCTGACACCTGATGTGAGGCCTGACCTGTATTCTGAGTCTCAGTTTGTTGAACTTCTCTTTGACCTGAGAGTTGAACTCCATGAGAGTTGACTGAGGTCCAGGGCAATCCCTGATGTCCCTGCAGGACACACAACCACACACCACCACACCACACACCACACACCACACACCACACACACACCACACACACACACACAACACACACAACACAACAACACACAACACACAACACACAACACACAACACACAACACACACACACACCACACACACACCCACACAACACACACACACAACACACACACACACACACACACACACACACACACACACACACACACACACACACACACACACACACACACACGCACGTATTCATGATTATACTAAGTGTATAAAGATATTTCTTAGCTCAACTACACAGTAACATAACACGAACGACTGATAACTTTATTCAGGTAAATAAACCTCGAATTGGATCAGTTGAAGGAAACATATTTAATAAAACTCTCTCTCTCTTTCTTTCTGTCTATTTTAACCTTCATCGTCGTGTTATCCGTGAGCTGTATACAGTCTATGGTTAGCTAACGTGAGCTTCACTTTGTTATTGTGACGCCTCCATAAAAATCTCTCCAGAACAAAACTGAAAACCAACCTGAGCATAACAATTTTTCATAAAAGTACCATCTTACCTGAACAAGTGCCTTAATTTCCAGGTCATATTTGATTATTTCTTGTCCACAAATTCGGACGTGGACATCCGCAGAAGACGCCATATTTGTTGTTGTACGGCAAGCACTAGGCTCAAAAGACAAAGCGTTCTGCTGAATGCGAAGCGATACATCTGACGGTCACACACAATCCATTAAAAAAACTTATTTTTCTGTCACATAAATTCTATGGTGATGTGGGTGTCTTACTATAAGGTTACTACAATATATATGATATTAATATATAACAATTAATCAAATGTAATGCATTTGCAAATATGTATAGGCTACATAATGGACTAAATTCTAAACAATGATTTAATTTTTTTAAAGTGGTGTGAAATTAAAATATATGAAAACATTTTGTATGAATCAGTGATTATATTCAGTTATTTACAACCCCATGTAAACATAGCTCCATAGCTTCTCTTGTTAACTGGACTTAAACGCCCACTGTATTTATTTATATTACATTTCATATTTAATAATCCATTCCTTGCACAATTAATGTATATATATAATATCCTGCTTTATATTTTGTTACTGTACATTTGTATTTCCACATGTATATTTGTTTACTTTTTAATGCTTTTTTTCAGAAATATTTTTGGATTGTTTATTTGAAGTGTTTTAATTTCTCTTATGTTCATTGCCTTGTCTTTTCATGCTACAAATCCCAATTTGGGATCAATAAAGTACTAATCCATCTATCTATATATATATATATATCTATATCAACAAATTAAGAAGAAGAGTCAGGATGGGTTGCTAATGGTTTTATTATTTTGATATTAAAATCAATGAACATAATCAGACTATTGTGGTTACAAGCAGAGCTGTGGTATCAGCTCCTGGCTGATACAACAGAGAAAGAATGTTTTAAAAAAAATAAGAAAGAAAAGAGAGGCACAATAACACAACAGAGATTCAGGGCAGGTGCCGCAGGATGTCACGCAGCCAGAGACAATTATTGTCCGAAGCTCTGAAACAAAATGAGTTGTTACAGTACAAACCAAATAAAACAAAAACATATCTTACATTTCCAAGACTGTGCATAAAGCCCACCCACTGTGCCTCCAAGAAAGAAAGACAATGTAGAACAAAGACTTAGATATAACAAAAGTTAAACCCAGCACGACACTTATTACACAACATAAATATATCAACTGTCAAGATATTGTATTTGAACAGGCATATATGTGAACTACAAATATAGACGTCATTGCTAAAGAGAGGATCAAGTTAGTTTCAGCAGGATACACTTTCTGTAAGTTGCTTCTTTATGAAATTATAATCACCAAGAGATCTATTATAGAGCCCTTAGCAATGAAGAACAGCCCTCCTACTGAGACTGGGGAGAGGAACACACACAGGACTAACTACAGAAAGATCCCATGCTGTTGATCTAGTCATATAAGTTACCATACAAGACCAGAAGCATCATATCAATAGCATGTAGCTGTAGAGCTCATGATGACCAATACCTCCCACATCCACTACATGTTTAGGCTTGTATGGATTTCCCATCAAATCATCTTTCTGTCTGTCTTTATTATCAAAATAGAAAAGAAAGGAAACAGAATATATACTTTAACATTTTCTGCTCATTAAATGTGTCTCGCTCCGTGCATTTTGGCAAATCTGGAAGGAGATGTAAATCACTTTAGTGTTGGATAATGACGCGTGTAGATATGGAGAGGGGTTTTGTTTTTTTATTTTCATTTAGGGTGGGTTGTTGTTTTCGCTTCGAAAAGATCAGTCTGCAGAAGAGGAAATTACTCTCTCTCTTCCCCCCCCCACCCCCAGCATTTATTGCAGGGGAGGTGGAGGGGTCTCTGCCCACCAGCCTTTAGCGGCCCTCCATCTTATTTCAGAAGCTCCCTGACAAGACAACTGCGAACCAAAGCCCTTCCGAAAAAAATAAGCACCCAGAAGGGGACAAAACATCTCTGGTGCAGTGGAAAAGTTTCCCCAGAAAACTGATCGAATGTTCAAATTGCCCCCTCACAGTTAGAGAGGGGCGACTCCTGACCTGTGGAGCACCAGACATCGATTTAGAGTTGTGACCAAAGAAGAGCCGAGTCCTTGAGTCTGTTTCCAGGCGCTGACTGACTGCCTCAAACCTTCAATGACAGAACGCTTCATGGGCTTCTCAGACCACTACTCAAAGTCACAATGAAACTGCACCGTGTTATTTTACCATTAGGACAGAACATAATGTTAAAGTCATATACATTTAAACACAGGACGGCAAATGACTGAAGCCACTATGTGTTATATTTGTATGTAATAATAATGTTTTTACGGGCAAATCGGTAGTTTTGTTGTTACTTTCAGCAAATGAATCCCAGACTCTGGTTGCAACACAATCATCTTTATGTTTGTGTGCAACACAGAGACAACAGGACTTTTGTTAAAGTTGATTTGCAAATATAGTCCTTTTTTAGGTATTTCTCCATCTATCCTAATATATCTGTTGCTTTATTTAAATATTTGTAAATTCATTTTCAAACTGATATATCTTTATAATATTGCCATCTGTTTTGCATACTGATCTATTTATTGAGTCTTTACTGTCTAATTAAGCACTAAATATAGATTGTCCTTAATGTTTGCATATCTTACAAAAGTTGCACATTTTACAAAATCGTATCTATGGTACATGAGATAATATAACTGATATAATGTGTAAATGTAATAAGATACATTTTTTAAATATATGAACAAGCTAAAAAAATATGTTGGTTTATTGGTATACAGGGAGTAATAGAAAAGTCAGTTTCATTGTGACTTTGATTGACGCCTGTAAACCTCATGTGACTCCTGGTGAAGCACGCTTCAGTGGAAAAGCTAATAAGTCTTACAAATCTCATTACATGTTAATTTACAGGACGAAACAAATAAATATCAAATAAATTGTCAGAACACTGGAATAAGGGAAAAAAGGCAATAAGATATAATTTAGGAAAAATCAAATTTCAATCGTGCAACATTTGACAAAGTCAGAGCATAAATATCAAACCAAAATATTAATATAAAAAGAAATAGGTATAAACATTTAAGCAGGACAGCGGCCATATAAAGATACAACATTCATGATCCTTCTGGATCCGGACAACAGGAGTCTCCCTGTGTTCAAAACAAAAGTGTAAGGAAGTAGCACAACAGGAAAAGCTCCACCAGACACGTCTGTCCGTATGATCCTGCTAAGGAAGACTAGTCTACATTCATCCGCAAAGCAGCAGCAGCAAAGTTATACCTCGCTATGTCAGCATACAGCAGTCAGAAACACAAGACTGACAAGAGTCATCGACAGTAGGAATAATATGGCTAAAACAGCTTTTTACATCAGCTATGTTAGCACCCAGCCACTGACAGATTAGCACCACAGTTTACCTCCATGCTCAGTTTGTCGCTTCATTTGCACCCTGCCACTAAGTGCCAACACTGGCTTCAAGGAGGGTCTGGCACTTCATTATAGCAAAGTTAAGAAACGGAAAGGTCTGTTTTATGCTTTTTTTTGTTTCCTTTTTCTCAAAAAATATCTCAAGAGGCAGCAACACGGTGCTCAATGTCAAAACCACAGAAGAAGAATGCATTGTAATCGACTAATTAAAGCAGGCCCAAGTCTCCTTCTGCCTTTGACACAGTGGAAACGTACTCTTCTCTAAACGGACACACCAGCGGTGATAGCAGCAGCAGCCAATACACAAAACACAAGAACGTGGCGTAGTGGGCAGAGAAAGAGTTACAATTGGAACCAGGTTTCCCAAACATGAATTTAGTTCACATGTATGCTCTTCTTCAGTAATACTAAAGGGAAATCATATTCAGACACGACAAAAAGCTCATTCACTGCTAAAGGCTGATTTCTCATACAAAATATTTTGGGTTGAAATTAGTTTTTAATTTAATTTCTGTACTTCAAGTTTAGGTTATGGGAAACCCAGCCCCTTGTTTCTGTGGGGAAACCCCCTCCAGACTGACAGAAGGTGCAGATGTGTGTTCTCGAAGATTTGATTAAGGCACCTGGTTCAGCAGGCATCATATTCAAAAACCCAAGAGCAAGGGGAGTAACACTTTGGTCTTTTGACTGTCGAAAAAAAAAGTGTGAAAAAGAAAACAGGGTATGTGTTATAGTATACTGTTATCGAATCATTGATACACTTAATGAAAAACATAACGCCCTTTGTGCTCATTAAATAGCAGCAAGTATGACAACATTTGACTTTGAGTGCAGTGAAGGATCTTCTATAAGTGCGTTGCAGGGAGTCGGCATGCAGAAACATTATTCCCGCTCGTTTTTTTTTTGTCACATTTTTGTATGTTTCTAATTTACACAGAGAAAAACATGGAGGGCATTATGCATACAACCTCTCAAGACGAGGTGTTTTTACAAGCAGCCCACATGGGTCAAAACAAGACAAGAAACATCTGAAAACAGAATCCAAACTCTGAGATCTGACACCACAGCCAGCAAGAGGTGAGGTCAATTTGTCAAATATTGTTTACCCCAATTTAGTGAGACAAGAATATTTGGTAACGCTCATCTTTTAGATCTGTAATTTTCTAAAAAGTGCTTAGTTGAGTTGAAGTTGAGGGGCCTAAGAACCAGGAAAACAAGCTGAAAGATGCTAAAAAATATTCAGTAGAGGGGAACATCTATTCATTATACACCAAGTCATTATATATATTTTATTACATACATATGGATACATAAGTACAGATTAAAACAAAAAAATAATGCCATGAAACTTAAATGATATACATGTAATATAACAATGTAAGTGTATCAATTGATATCTACTCTTCCTATCACCGAATGGTATACCATACTTGGTTCAAGAAAACTTATTTGAAATGGATAAATTACTAAAACATATTATGATAAAGCGTTACCAAATATTTACTCTGGAGATCCTTCTTGAATACATAAGTTGAATAAGTACCTGTATTTTAATAATATAAGGAGGAAATCCCACGTACTATTTAAATCAACAAAATAATGGCCTATAATACACCCAAATAAATGCATTTATTTTGCAGTCCTGGGGGAAATCTTGTACCTCTCAGATGATATAAAGATCCTCTGTGACTTTAGGCTGTGGTATCAAATCAATGAGAATGATTTTTACAAAATAAACAATGGTTTGCCTAACAATAGCAATCATACAGCTCAATAAAATAGAAATCACCAATTTGTTGTCGTTCAGAGTGAAAATGTTCTGTTTGGTCCAACAGGATAGAATCAATGAAAAAGATCGGGGGTGGGGAGTCTGTTATGTTTTTGAGTGAATATAAATACAGATGCTATTTAAATTCTTGGAGGATTACCTGGATAATGAAAAGTAATCAGCACCATGTGAAATCAAATCCTTTGTGAGAGGAAAATGTCGTAGGTCGTGTATGTTTTAATTCCAATGTGGATACATCGGATAAGCTGTGAATATTGTGACTGTTGGCCTTTTTTTCAGTTTGTGTAGAGAGGATTGCACTATATTGATTGACATTGAGAATTCATAACACACACACATATTTTTGTACAGAGTAAAGAATGGCGACAATAATTGGAATACATAAATATATTTTCTTTTGATTTTATGTCATCACATACGTCAGATAGAAGAACGATATTACCCTGATTTGCTGAAGAAGAGCTATACGGTAAGCTTTTATTGGACAAAAGTAGCACAAAGATACACCATCAGCTTAATAGTTGACTGTATAGGTTTTATATCACCAGAAATAAAAAAAAGAATAAGGAATAGTTACTGGCGTGGATTTTCACTAGTTTTCTTGACTTTTTAAAATGCCACAGAGTCTCCTTGTTCGAATGTAAAGTTGCACAGCTTGCACCTATCATGTTAAATGTAAAAACCTGTGAGAACTCTTTCTTAGATCAGCCTCATAAGCGACTACAAAACTAGCCAACCAGCGGCAATGACCGCTGGCCAGACCTGGTCAAAATTGTTGCTGAAAGAAATTGCTTCAAATATTGTACCAAAAGATTCAACTGAGCACAATTAGTTCAAATTTTAAATTCAACATTTGTAGCAATTTTTCGGAGATATTGCACCACGTCTGATGCTTCAGTCAAGGTTTGTTTTGAGCCATTTATGCTGAACAGTTTTGTTATTGTTGTTGTTGTTGTTGTTGTTGACTGTATATTGGCGGAACGATGTCATAAGCCTCGGGCTCACCCTTTGGCAACTGACTAGTTCACCAATTTATATTATTTGTTTGTGTGTAAAAGTTCAAAAGGCAATAAGTGTCCGGATTGAGTCTCCATTTGTAACTGGCTTGCCATACAGTACAGTGATATAGTAACTTCCCCTAAGGCGGCCCGGAACAACACCTTTCAAACGGCTCTTCCTGGCCGCCCCAGGCTAAACCCTCCTCCTCATTAAGTCACAAGTAGCAATCAGTTTACAAATGATAACAATATAGCTCTCTGGAGAAATGTGTCTACACTGTACATCACCCTGAAGAGGAAGCCAAAGCAGAATCAGTTTTTCCATAGGAAACCTCTACTGAAGGCAAATGAATCCTGACGCCAAGGGGGTCAGCGTCAGGATCAAAGTAGGGGCCCTGGAATCAAAACCCTCTTTTTTTAAGACCACAAACCCGCTATCCACGCGGTTCCTGACCAGGAAATAGACCTATCTTTCCAAAAACCAAGCAATGATACAGGTTTATTCAACACTCGTATCATTACGTGGATCCAGAAACATGTAGACCTAACCCTCGTCAGGCCGCACACCTATTCCCTGCCAGTTTAAAGACCTAGCCAAGTCAGGAAATAGACCTATCCTAGCAAGTAGTTATCAAGTACACTTGCAGCATTCACACCAGGCCTTTTAGCAGCAAATGGAAGAAAAAAATGCTTTTTCTTTAGTTTGTTTTTGTTTTTTTCTTTCTTTTTTGGACAAAGTGCTTTTTGTTTTCAAACATATAAGATAGAGTAATCTATACATATATCTAACATTTAGAAGAAACATATCAACTTATAGTCTATGTACAAAAATGAATCACTACTAAGAAAATAGCTATGGACGGTAAGTCATTAGGCTACAACTAAAACCAAGAAGTCAAATATGAGTATATACTCATCATTCTAGTTTCATAAAAAAAAGCACCATTTCTCCCTTTTTAGACGGAACAGAAATCAGTAAATATATATATATATATATATGTAGCACTAGCTGTTATTCGATCACATGATACAGAAAGACAAAAGCTCTGCATCTCCATTTTACTTTCACTTGGAACTAACCTGAATGTATCCTTGTGGATGTTTTGTTTGTATTTGCCCGCTAACAAAATGACTAACTGATTTTTAAAATTCCTGAGAATGGCGGCATTTCCTCTGAGGAAGCTGCAGTGGGGCAAGCATTCAGGCATCATGCATTTCTAAAGGTTGGACATGCTGAACACTTTGAGGCCAGGATATTTTAATTCTCGGTATTGCCTTAAAACAAGTTATTCTTCGCTGCTGTGAACGGTCAGGAAGGACTAAGGAAGATATAATTCAGCATTGCAACCTCAAAGGCGTCCAATCCCAGGAAATGTAAAATTCAACCAGCTTCATGGTGAAAGAGTGAAAACTTGCGAACATCAGAAGGACATTGCACAGTGCTGAACCAAGATTAATGAGACTCAAATGGCTTTGGCTTTCTTACAGAAACTTTCCTCACACTTCCCTGCTGTTGTCCTCAAAGCTCCTGCTGGACCATGTCTTCGCTGCACTGTGATTCGAATAATCCTCTGTATTTCCCTCAGCCAGCAAAGGAGACCCATTGGTTAAATGTTGTTTTAAATATCAAACTTTGAGCTGCTCTTAAAAACCTCTTTACCTCCACATCTCCTTTCCACTGAACACATACTTCCAAACAGGGAAGCTAACAGGCAGCTAAAGTACAAAAATATAACAAAAACTTTTTTTTTTTGGTTTTTGTGTTTTTTTCCTCCACCTTTCAAGGATAGGCTTTTTTAGAAATGTGTCATGCTTAAAAATTAATAAATTGTCATGAAAAGTGGCATTCCACCATTGATAGATATAGCATTAAGGTTTCTATTTACAGTACTTTATAGCTAAATTAATATTTTGTTGAAGAAATAAACAAACAAGTGACAACAGGAACAAAACATTTTGGTTATTCTTGGTGACAATTTGTCAAACAAAAATGTAACATAGCTTATCTACTAGCGCTCTTGGTTTATGTCCTAAAATAGCACCTATAAAACAATTAGCACGTGGAGGGAGGAATCAGTTCAGGAATGACGTGCTTGCAAAGCAACACATCTACTGGAGGAGCCCATAGATGGGTTACATTTTCAGATTTAAAGAAATGATTAAATGCTCCTTTTCTGTACAGAATTGGACCCAAGCTAATTTCACAGTTCTATGAAGTTCCCTGACCCTCCCACATTTCTTACATTCAATACGGCGTCAGGTAAGCTGTGCAAAACCTTACTTTAACTGGCTGGTCGCCATTTTGTTGCATGTGTCTTTGGTACAAAAAACAATCAAAATATAGTGTGCAAATATTTTTTCTGTGACTAAACAAATAATATGTTAACCCCTCCCCCCGCCCCCATCCCTAAAGACAGAGTACCAAAAAACAGAAGTATCCATTGCAGAGCTCTCTTATATACACACACAGACTCTGTGGCATGACGCAACGAGAGCTTCCTATTGTTTTATGTACATTCAGGAAATCTTTAGACAACTGAAAAACTCTGCAGTTGTCCCCCTCCTCGCATTCATTAACAATCTCCCTCAGTGTAAAGTAGTCCCCTCGTTGGCTGGACCTCAGGGAGTTCTGACCAATCATCTCTTCTCGTTCAGTCCCGCTCACACACTCACTCAGACTACAGAAACACACACATACACAAGGCACAATGAATAGAACTCTGATCAAACACTAGTATGAACACACCAAACTGTTAGCCTGGTCATCTCTACGGTACAAAAAGGGGAGCCTGTGCCTTTTTTCAGTGGGAGACGCTTTTATGTACAGTTTCCTAGAGGAGATGGATTATTTCACCCTCACCATCATCATCATCCTCACAGTCTGCTCCCATTCTGGCAAAATGCCCATTTTACCCAGTCCAGTTATAACCAGCACAAGGCCAAAAAGCACCAAACTACATCAACTTCCTCTGAATATGGTCAACTACCTCCTGTTGTTTAAGTTATCGTAGTCAAAATAAGCCATAAAGCCTCTAATTTTAAATTCTTTAGGCTTCAGCGGTTTCTTTTCGAGCTTTATTTTGCTTAAAGTTAACTCCTACATTTTAACAACAGCAGGCCTGATTGGCAAACAGGGGATGGCATGAACGTATTTAGGCCTTCAATACAAAATATTTCCTGCCACCCCGAAAACGCCTCGGAGCATACAAACTATTCTCTCTGCAGCTTTGTTGGCAACCAAAGCCCTTTTTATCGAAGTGCTTTAATGAATGGGTCACTTTGATCTTAATTTTATTCTGGAGTTAATATTTGTTGCCATGTAAGGTGACCCTCTTGGAGGAAATGATAACTGGAACTTTTTCAAACCTTTGATGGTGTCTGACGTGAAACTATTCTTCCTCTTGTTATACAACCTCCAACCAATTATTCAAAAGTATTCCAGTGGTTACACTCGTGTGACTGTCTCAGCCCTGAAAGCAGACCTCCAATAAAACGGACCCAACACAACAATATGCACATCGCATCTAATAATCCCCAGTGGATTCAGCATGTGCCATTAGATATACACCTGACCATCACTTGCTTTTAGAGGCGCTTATCCCAACAGACACTCACAATGGGTTGGGGGACAGTGACGCACTGACTCGCAGTGTGCAGAGACATTAAGCTAGGGTGTATGCCAAACACACATACATACACACAGGGAGTGGTATGTGTGTTTGTGTGACTAACAATGTGTATGTACTTTGGGCTGGAGGGGCATGCAGAGGGGGGGCATAGTTACAATGGGACAGCACGGTGGTAATATTTAGCACACGTCTCTCAGTGGACTGCAGTGTGTTTAGATTTTGGAGGTTGGGACTCGCAGGCCGACCAGCCCTCCGGTGGGGTCGCCGCGTCCGGTGGTCTCCAAGATCTTGTTGACGAAGTCTGAAGTCTGCCCAGCAACAGGTGATGCCACTGCACACACAGAGACACAGGAAGAAACATTCAGAGATGCTAGAGATGGGTTTTTTTATCCAGACAGGGCACAATATTATTGTAAAAAGCATTCATTTAAATTAGATCATTCATTTTAATCTCACCGAGTGTCTCTTTGATGAGATGCTCCAGAGTGTCGGCCATGTTGGTCGGACGCGGAGTAGAGTCCTCCACTCGGGCAACTATCTCCTCCTTGATGGCATTGATCACAAACAGGAGCCGGTCTACAGGAGGACATGTGGTCGAGCACTTTAGCATTTAGAAGTTGTTGATATTTAGTCATTTCTAACAATCAGAAAGTCGATTTTGAAATAATACAGAATAAGAAAGCATGAAAAAATGGATGTAGATGTTGATGAAATTGGTGTAAAAACTGTGTACGCCGTATACCGTATTCTGTGCCGAGTCCCCAGAGCTTCACTTTGTTTGCCTCGTACTGAGCCTTCTTCTTCAGACGACAAGCTCTGCAACACACAACAGATGTGTCGAGTCAGCACCTTGACCAGCTTTTAATAATTCATGAACTGTGGGTCAGCACGATGTGTCTGTACATGAATGCATGACTTACCTGGATGCCAGCTTGTTCTTCTCCTTGCGTGACCGAGGTCGTGCGGTCAGTGGCAGCTCGCTCACGGGGGTCAGGTCGCTGATCACCTTGTTCAGTTTGCGGAGCTCGGTGCCGATCTGCAGCAGCTTCCGTGGATTGGGAGTCAGGTCTTCCACGTCCGTTCGGCGAGACTTCTTCAGCATGTACTTTCCTTTATTTGAAAAGAAAGATTATCAGATGATTTACATCATATGTCGTTTAAGTTAGAAATTATTATATGCTTTATCTGTTCAATATTTCTAGTAAGATCACTTTGACTGCCATATCACTGCAGCATGCTGTGCACAGCTGCTGTTGTGGAAAATATAAACTCTCAAAGACTGTACTTGCCCTACAGTCTCTACAAGAGGTAAATTACATTACATTACATTGCATTTAGCTGACGCTTTTATCCAAAGCGACTTACAATAAGTACATTCGACTAGGAAGACACAACCTTGAAGAAAACAGAATCATATAAGTACATCAGGTTTCATAGAGCCAAACATTTCAAGTGCTACTCAACTGGCTTTAGGTAAGCCAGTCCTTTATTAGTATAAAAGTGCTGTAAATATGATATATGTTTAGTCCGTGATATATATATATTGTTTTATCGAATAGCTTTTAACTAATAAGCTCTTTTTTTGGTGCAGGGCTGATCTCCCACGTGGTTAATATACAGTATATATGTACCGTACGTGTGTGTGTGTGTGTGTGTGTGTGTGTGTGTGTGTGTGTGTGTGTGTGTGTGTGTGTGTGTGTGTGTGTGTGTGTGTGTGTGTGTGTGTGTGTGTGTGTTTGTTTACCATGGAGAGGCCCGTTCTTCTGGTACAGGTTGCTAGGCAGCGTGTGTCTGTCCCACTCAGACGGCTTGAGCATGCGCTCGTGCTTGGAGGGGGTGAGCTGCTCGCTGTACTCCCAGAAGTAGCGACGCTTGCCTCTCTTCCGGGTGGTGACTCCCGTCGTCAGACCTTTAATGTCGTCCATTAGCTCCATTTCACAACCTGGAGAAAACAATACATCAGAGCCGGGGGGGGGGGGGGGGGGGACAGACAGAGAAAGAAAAGTCATGAGGAAGAAACACAGAAAGGTAACAATGACAGTTTGTTGACAGTGACAGTTTGTTGGTAACACCGGAAGCATGAAGGTTGCTACCTGGCTCGGAGAAGGCGTCACTCATGTCTTCGTCCTTGTCAGCTTCGTAGTCTTCATCCTCCTCTTCATCGTCGTCCTCCTCCTCCATCTCAGACAGCTCGTGCTCGCTGCCGAAACCCTCATCGTGGTCTTCGTCATCCATCTCAAGCCCATCGCCTTCCTCCTCCTCCGCCTCTTCCTCGTCTTCCTCCTCCTCGTCTTCTTCCAGCACGGACTGGCTTCTGCTGGCCAGTCTGCAGCGGGTGAGGAATAGAGAGTAGTTGTGCTCTTCCTCCTTGATCTTCTCAGTGGCCTCTTTATCCAGAGCACCCCCACTAGCTCCTGCCTCCACCTCTCCGCTGACCTGCTCCGAGGTGCTGCCCTCCATGGCCGGACTGGCCTCGACCAGGGGGGGGACACTGGCAGACCAATCTACAGGAACCTCACTCTTCCCTCCCCCCTCTGCGGCCCTCTCATAGATCATCTGGCTGCCAAAGCCGCTGTCTGCAGCAGCAGGAACTACCACCAAGGTGGCGCTCGTTGAGGGGCCGGCCTTCCCGTCATGGGACTGGGGGAGCGGTGGAGGTGGGTTTGACCTCTCAAAGGCCGTCTGGGAGGGCATGTCGGGCTGAGTTTTAAACCCGGCACTCACACGGACTTTAGCCTTCCGCACAAAGTCCATCGGGGCTGCCATCTTGGTTCCTCTGCCGTAAGGCTTGGTTTGCGCGTGGCCGTAGTCCTGGGTGAGGCTGAGGAGGGTCTGGGTCTTGGCCATGGTCTCGGTGCATGAGGGGACGGGTCTGGTGGCTTTTTGGGAGGTTTCAGGAAAGTCTGGGAGAAAGCTGCGGGAAAGACGGGAAGAGGAGCTGGGGGAGGGCCGTGCTGAGCCGGGGCCAAATCCCTGGCCAGGGATCAGGGGTCTCCTACTGTGACCGGGAAGTGGAGGGCCACTCATATCAGCAGGGGGGTAGAGCGCCTCACACACAGGTTGCGAATCCTCGCTGTTGAGCTGAGCCAGGGTCGGGGTTTGACCAATCACATCCTCATCCTGGTAGGGACTAGAGAGGTCATCCAATCCAAGGAAATCCACCTCTTTGTTGCCCAAGATCTCACAGCTGGCCAGCCGTGTGTATCTGCCGAGCACAGAGCAACACAGTTCAGACAACAGGAAAGCTACCATTGTCTTGTCATTGTAAATAACCTTCAACATGAAACTATAAACCTTTTTTGGTCATCTTGGACTCTGGAAAACAATGTTTTTTTCAGTGATCGATTAATGGACAAAGTATTTGAGAGATCTATAAGCAATGGAAATTATTGTTTGTTGCAGCCCTAGATCTCAACATACCTTCTGCACTAATTCAAAATTGCAATGGCATGGATTTAGCATGAGAGCAAAGTATATTGCAGGTCTGATTGATGCACATGTGCCTCAATGAAAACCATCCAGAGCAAATTTGCATCTGTTTAGGATTTTGACCTTTTAGAATAAGTGTTGAAAACCTGAAGGCAGTCAAAACATTAAAGTGATCAAAAGAGAGCTCAGAGGAAGCACAACATCTTTCAGTGACAGTTTTGACACTCATAGACACTGCCTACATTTTTTTCTGAAATTCACCAGATTGTTGGGTAAAATCTGCGTAAAGAGCAAAGGTACATTGTACTTCACAGAATAAGACTTACCCATTAACACAGTATGCATTTGAGCGACTTAGCAGCAGCGTGGAGCTAATCTTGACAGTTGTAAAGAAATGACTCACTCAATAACCAAAAGGAAACGGCACTTTCCTCAACTTTCAACCCTCTTACCCTGCAGCAGCCAGTTGCACTATTCCACCTCAATATTAATCGCCTCTAGACTCCAAAAGTGGTTGTCTAACCTCAGCTGACACTGTGCATCAGAGGAGAGAGTGCACAAACTATTTTGAAAGCAGAGCATCAGGATATCTGCAGGACAGACGGAGCATCACCGGAGATCTTAGGAGACTGCGGGCAGCCAGCTGCTTGGTTTGTTTACTGACATCTTAAACCACTCCCTGCCATCCAGCAACACTCTAGCTGCCTCAAACCACCCTGATCTGCCTCAATGATGACTGGTCTGGCATGGTGAACTGCAATGCTTTAAAAACGTTTAGGCACCTGTCCTTTCGCACAGATCGACTCTGCAACCTCAACCATACAACCTTTTAATTTAACTCATCGACAATAGGTTGATTATTAGCTTTAAAAAAAAATCTACAACAATTCTAATAATGAATTAATCACGTTATCAAGCAACTAAAATTACCGTCCCACAGCCTTCAGCAACCAGTCAAGATGCAGTTTACATCCATGTCTGTCCAAAATGTCATCAGTGACATCATTTAATCCTATTAAACAATTGTGTAAAATGTTCACAATTAGCATATTAATTCAGTCAGGCCAAAAACATGTGTGTTTTGTGACTTTGACCATTCTTATCTTTGAGTTTTTAAACAATAATAAAGCGCTATAGATACTAATGTCAGGCTTTGGATGAACAGACAAAAGTTGTGGTTAATACATCGCTGGTTTGGGGAATTTCCAGTAACTTGCCGCCCGTTAAAGCTTGAGACTTTTGTATCCCCCCTCTGGCGGTGCAAGAAGCAAATATACTGGAAGTGATGTTCTAGATTTAAAAAAAACTAAAACAATTTGGGTTCCAATGGAAGGATTTAAGAATAAAAAGGGGGGCGGGGGGGATGCAGAGAGAGGTTCACCAGTGATGGGAAGTCTCCACAGACACAAAACACCACAACGCTGCTATTGTTCAAAATACAGAGTTTACCAGGCTCAATCAGCGTTAGGTGACCTCATTTGGCGAGGGTTTGTGTGTAATGGCTAACTTGTGGCCCCACGCAAAGTTATGTGATGAGGCCCTCTGTGACGCGAGCGTCGACGGGGACGGGGACGGGGAGGCTAGTGGAGCACGCGCCAGAGTAATTGTGCCGTATAAGCGCATAGAGGTGCGCCGCATTTGCGCTTCGGGTGAGGTGAGGCACCCTCCGCAAGATTAGGCCCATGGTGAGGTGAGACCCGACGCAGTCTGCGTGATCTGCGTGTAGGGAGGAGCGGCCCTGCAAGTTCCTCACTCCAGCTTTAAAAACAGACAAGTCTTGTGGACCCTTAACCCAACCTCCTGTTTCTGATCAATACCATGCTATTAAAAAAGGCACAAAATGTAGAATCCAAAATTGTTGGCAATCCACTTTTATAATGTGTGAGATGTGAAAAACAGTATGACATTTGAGTTTCAGTGAATTCATTTGTATAATGTCATATTTACTTGCTGCTGCTTTTCACTCGATATATATATATATATATATATATATATATATATATATATATATATAAGCCACAGCATATGAATAAATAATCCATTACCTGGTGAGGTCCTCCCAGTAGGAGTCCCACTGTTCGAACGCTGAGCTGCTGTGGACCGTCTCGCTCTCGCTCAGACCCATGAGCTGGTCCACGCAGCCCTCCACATCCTTCCCCCCATCGCCCCCCACTCCGGAGCTGTCGATGGAGGGGCTCTGTCGGTGGGTGACGTCTCGGTCCTGCTGCAGAGAGGAAAACATGGAGGGAGTCAGCAGCTGGTGGCTCAGAAGATGGTTTATATCTAAATTATATTTAAAAGAGGTGTTTGCAATAACTGACAACAAAGTAACAGAAAATAGAACAGAAAATAAGACGATTTACATTTTAACGGCATCAAAGAAAAAAAATATATATCAAATATTGGGGGAATTTGACAATGCACGGAGGTTATAAAAGACGTGTCCATGTCAAACCATTGGTTTTGCTGAAAATATCTATAATATTTTAATATTGTGCAAGACCTTTTTTGTCTAGAGGGCATCTAGCGTTGGAAATATGACAAGCAACAGCATAGTATTAGAAATTATAGGATTATTACATTTTGAATTAATGTTGCACCAATGAGACACTATTTTTAAATGATTTGTAATTCAGTGTGAGTTAAAAAACCTTTTGTTGAGTTTATTGTAGTAATATACAGTTCTCAGCCGATCTTCCAGGAACTAAACTATACCACACGAGATTGCCCGTGTCATTTTATATAAAGAAACTCTGGTGAAGTGTCAGTTTTCTACATGGCGAGAAAGACAATTTGGCAGAGATAATTGCATTTTGACTTTATATCGCTGTCTTCTTGTCATCATGGAGCTCAGATGTGTCAATATGTCTCATGTGTTTTCAGTCAGAAGGGTTTAGATTTAACCATTATATTGTAAATCTTTCTTTCTTTTCCATATCTTAACATATCTAAACGAACAGGAGGGTTGAAGATAATTGAAAGATCCTTTTAAAATCTGTCATCACAGTAACGTCTTACTAGTACGAGTGCAGCGGTGAATCACTTTTGTTTGACGACAGCTGATGGTAAATTAAGGCAGACACCTGCAGCTGACAGGGTGAGGGTGACAGGGGAGCCGTCTCCCATCAGCCACCTGTGAGCCCGGCAAATGTCACACGGCTGATAAACAATTAGGCATGGGCCTCTCCGTTTTAAATTCCAGAGTTGCCACTGTTTCCCCACTAGCATGACTATGACTGTCAGGGAAAGTATTTTAATATTATTGATTAGTGAAGAAGACCTGTTTTTATTCTCAAAAAATGTCCAGCACTTCACGAACATATTAAAAGGAAATATAAATGAACCCTTCATTTACTTCTACTCTCAAAATGGTTCATATGCATGTTTTTTCCGGTGATTACCAGGCACAGCGTTGACATTTTGTACGTATTTAAATGTTGCAAAATGCAGGATTGGTTTGTCCTTATTTACAATGAACAAATGAACAAAAAAACTGTACATTTGAAAGCATTATTTTTGTTTAAAATGTTCATTGATGTGCACTGTTCCGGTTCAAATAAACGATTAAATGAAATGAAAAAACATCACAGCATGACTTACTCTTCTTTGAATTCTCTCTGGTGTTTTTGTGGAGCTTGTTGTGCAACATGTAACTTGATCGTGTTTTTTTTTTTTATACGGGTGGGGTTACTTGTGCCGAGCTGTGACCACTCGAGCCACGCTGACAACGGGGCGAGTGTTTTTCCACTGAACTGCATAGCAAGGTATAAGAAGCTGTTAATGAGGTGTAGGAGGTGTGCTGAATCTTGAAAACACCATTAGGAGTCTGCAGCTCTTCATCCAACTGTGGGAGTTTCTGCTTTTACTACTCCTCCCTGCAGTATTTAAAACGGATCATTACTCACTAAATAAACCAGAAGATGTCCTAATCTTGGTGTGCAGACCTGTTTATATTCAACAATAGCAACTCAAACAAAGCTTCTCTAACTTTGTAGTATACTTACCACATTTTCTACTGGTGTTTCACAGTAAAAGGCAGGAACGTAGACGTTAATCTTAACCTCGAACTACAGAGATTCCAGTTAGAAGTACCGATAAGGTGTCTGGTATCTCCTCTATATTTCTTATTGCTGCATTTTAGTCGCTTCTTTAAGCCCGCGTCACACTGTCCCGAAATTGACACCAGATCGACACACGATAAAGGAAATGTTCAAATTCGGCTCTGATCGTAACAACATCGGGCCATTCGTGAGGGCATCTTAAGCCATCGTATGACCGCCGGTGGAGTTTCTCAGGCTCCGGCAGCAACTTCGTGAGCGGTGGCAAAATCTTTGGCATTCCAAAAAATTGCCGAAGGACCTTGCGAAGGTTAATTTTCGTGTTGAATTCGTGTGTCCATTTTGCCCTTCGTAAGGCACTCGTGAGGACATCTTGTCAAATCGTGTCATCTTCGTCTTTACTTCGTGTGATCATCGGTGCCATCGGGAATTTTTCGCCTCACGAAGACAATACGAAGGAAACAGGAAGCTGCCCGATTGGCTTAGGAAGGCAACACGACTGCGTGAAGCCCTCGCAATGCCGTCGGCCTATCGTATTATAGTACGATGACATCGAGATGGGACCACGGTGTTGGCGAAGACAGCCGAATTTGAGTAGCTCAAGCATTTCCCATGTGTCATGGTAACGTGGCCAGCCTCAGAGCATCTTCCTCAGTCAGTCCTGAGCAACTCTACAGAGCAGAGGCGTGTGTAACTCCCAAAGCTGCAATCACAATTCAGTTCCTGCAGAATGGCAGACTTTGATGATGAGACAACCAGGAAAATGCACCTCAGAGAACATGATGAGCAACTCTTACAGGCCCAGCACCTCCTCTTACAGGTAAATATTGTCTTTTTTCACATTGTCATTTCTTGCTATTTGTGACCTGCTCTATCGAAATCAGTAGCAGTGATGATTCCTGTATTAAGCAGGTGAAACAGGAGCAAGAGGACACAGTGTGCTATGTTTCCTTGCAGATCGCTTCTCTAGTTGTTTTATTGCACAACAAAATCATGTAAACATATTATGTAAATACCATCGGGAGGTCACGTGACGCCTTCGTGACCTAGTTCGAATGCATCGTACTCTCAATACGATGTTGTGTAGCCATCGTGTGGCCTTCGTGTGTCCTGCGGGTATACTTGCTTCGGCTGTTGCTTGGCTGTTGACTAAGTTCGGGGCCATCTTCGTGCGAAATTCACAATTCCATATTCGTGTGTCCATCTGGTGTCAATTTCGGGACAGTGTGACGCCAGCCTTAAGAAAAGGGTATTGGATTTTGACGGATGATCTTTAAACCTGGATCCTTCATTCAGATGCAACTCAGAGTCAACTCAGCGTGAGCAGCTGTGAGCGATCTAAAAGGAGTCAGCTCAAAGGACGGTAGACCAAGTCTGATGAACGCAGGGCATTTTAGCTAAAGATAAGCTCTAATATTAGTTTCATAATTGTGTGTATGTGTGTTTGTGTGCGTGCGTTTAACCACTCACCAGTTCATACATGAAATCTGGGTCAGAGTTGGAGGCGAGCAGGTCGGTGCTGGTGAGGGCCTGGTCAGCAAAAGAGTAGTTCTGAAATGCGTCAGCAAAGGGAGGCTCCATCCCAATGATGCTGGGCTGCAACACAACATAAATAAATAAACACTAAAGTAAATAATAAAAGTAATCAGCACCAAAACCAATTTCTGATATACTTGGTTCTTCCTTTTTCATTCTTCCCATCTGTTGCTCCTTATTTGATTTCAGTATTGTATTTATCTTTTCTCAGATAACTTTTATTTGTTGCACTCTAATAACCGAGTATCATTAATCATTTATGAATTTGTTCACACTATTCACGAGGAAACCCTTCTACCTGTTTGCTAGTGACAGTACAGTTTCCCTCTTTGCTGTTTGGTCCCTCTTACCTGTGGCATTGCCAGGCAAAGCTAAGAGCTTTAGCTGGGGGGGGGGGGATCTCTGGGCCCTTCTGTCCAGTGCCAGTGGTCTGAGGTTGTTGGATTAGCACAGTAAATTACTGCTAAAGGACAAGATGTTGTGAATGCAGCCTGCAAGGCTGCGGGAAAGAGGAAAAGGGGGGATGTCAGTATTTGGGCCTGGTCTGGTCTGTTTTCTTGTGATCTGCTGTTCTCTGTATGCTTGAGGTCTGTGGTAAAAACAGAGAGTAGACAGAGCAGAGGTATAAGAATCAACAAATAAATAAGTCAACAGTAACATGCAGGTACATTTCCAACACAGCTGAAGAGTTTATTTGTTTCCCACCAAACTGCAATAGGCCTACAGACTTTAAATCGTATTGTCGTACTGATATTCTGTACAAACTGTGAAGTCCACTGAGACAAATGTAACATTTGTGATATTGGGCTATATAAATAAACATTGATTGATTGATTGATTGATAAATGGCTAAACTGGATTTGATGGAGATTATTTATCCCACCCGCACCCACAGTATCTATGGCAGGCTAAAAGTCAGGCCAGATTATGGCCTTTGTTGTGTCTCAGAAATTGACATGCAAAGAAAAGTTTGGTTGATTTTTTAACCAGAAGACATAAACAATATATTATGATCCACTAAAGTAAGGCACAATACGAGACTAAATTCCCTGTTTTCCTCACCATCTTGACTTAAAGAGACCTGGAAGGGACAGTTGAGCGAGATTCAACTCTTATTTGTTTATGTGCATTTTCTAGTATACAAAGTCATTTTTAGGGATAATCATTTTGCCTCTCTGAATTGACCTACTTCAACCAGTCAAGTAAATGTAAATGGTAGCAACAACTCAGTCAGCCAGTTTTTTTTTATTTGTGGTTTGCAAAAATGTACTACACGTATAGAACTTCTTCTATTAAGTTGATTTGTTTTGTGGCTGATTAACAACCCAAGGCATTGCACATAATTAGAAATTGAAAAAAAGAGTAGAAACATCTCAAAATAGAAATAAACCAGCATTAGAGAGTAGAAAATATACAGTAGATTGTGAAGATAAAAACATCTATAAACTAACTGACAAATAAAACACTATTGAAGGGCCAATGTTCATGGAAATGCAGCTGGGGCAGCAAATAGGTGCTGGTATGTTTGCAAAAATAAGCTATAGGAGGTAGCAGGCTAACAATATAAACCATTTTCAATAAACACTTAATTGCCATTATTTATTAACACTGTCTTTCCATTCACTGCCAGCTATGCAGAACTTCTCCCTCTCTGCTGTCTCGCCATGCAGCTGCATAAACAAGGGCATAACCAGGCAATAACACGCCAGCGAGGGGTACATCTCACCCTCTCTTAAATGAAAATGAAGGGTTTCACTATCTCACAGTTCAACAAAGCTAATTCATCGCTGCCCCTATGGACTGCAGATGTTAACTAGTTACTTTTGCAGAGTGAGCGCAAGTGAAACTACGTAGAATTCCCCTTTAGGTTTTTGAAAAGTACGCTCTTCTTCACATTAAAGTCTACTAAGCAATGAAACAGCCAGGCCTGTGTTTGTCACATAAACTGCTGCTAAGAATGCAAAACGGTTGCCTCCGGCCCCCCCTGTCTACTGATAACAGCTGGATAGGAGGCTGGGCTCTCTGCCTCCATCTCTAGAGCTGGACCTAAAGTCAACACAGCACCGAGCCGAGCTATCGTAATCTCATCTTTCCTATCCCTCCCGTCCACTACTGCGTTCACCGACACAAATATACTACTGACCTGGGGCCGGTACGATGAGGCCTGGGTTAGCAAGCTATCTTTGGGCTTGACTGAGGGGCTGGCTCACGTTTAAATTAGGTAGATCGTAGGGATATTGACAAATTGTTATTGATTAAGCTATACGTCATGTCTACAACATTTCAGAAAAGCTCGAAAAAATGTTCCAGAGACCCCCAAATGACGTCTTCAAATGTCTTGTTATTCCCAACCAACATTCCATAACCCAAATATATTGAGTTTGCAATGATATAGAACAGCATCAAGCAACCAATATTCACAATTATGCGAGTACAACGACTTCAGCAACAGATGATAAATTGTTGCTGGTTAACTGATTAATCAACTGACATTTTCAGGTATGAAATAAAGTTAGTCTCTTTAGAACTGTTCATGGTGCAAAGGCAGAGATGGGGTGTATGGCATTAACGAATCTGTTAATATTGGTCCGGATTTACTCTTCCTTGTCTCTTCGTCTAATCAACCGACCGAACTTGCAAGCGCAGGTAACAGGAGCTCTCTGTCTACCCAGCAGCTGCCGGAAGTTGCTGAGAAAATAAGCCTCTGAGAAATTTGGTGTGAACGCCAGTCCCCGCCCCCATTACATGTTCGGAAAGCACCGACATATCTGAACCAAACTGCCTCTCAACATTCCTTTAGAGAGCATCGGATTTGTTTGCGTTATGCTTTACCATCACTTGGACCCTCCTCTAATTCTCTGCTTGTTTGTCATCCTCTCACTTTCCTGCACCTCCTACTGACTGCAACGCTTGGACTGATCTTTTCTCTGGGCCTTTTTGCTGCTTTGCATAGCAAATAAATGAGAATCTGCATGGAGACATGACCCCTGCAGTGAACAGCTGACACACAACCGTACACCAATCCCACTCCTCCGAGGCCGAGGGGACAACATCACTTCCTCTCATTGGGTGCTGACTGACTCAGATGAACTTCTCACCCCTGAGATCTGTCCCCATGTGTGGGAACACATTTTGCATAGAGACAGGAAGTGTCAGAAAACACGTTGGTACAGGAAGAGTACAAGCGTGTTTGTAAAAGCAACACCTTATCAAACACCAAAGCACATAAAAGCACTCATGTATATGCATGCACAAAATGATATATGTTCAAACAAACTCTCTTAAGGACCAGAAGTATATTTTAAATCTCAGTCTCTGAACTACAAATTGTGATCATTATCGTGCTTTTTCAATTTCCACTTCCCACCAGGGCAGCTGTGTCTGGTGTACTATCAGAAGCAGGATGAGGAAACATATGGCCCGATCACAACAGTGAACGCCAGCATTGATCCAGACTCTTTCCTATCACAGAGGCAGCAGAAGGCCTAACGGCCCGTCCACACAGCGGCATGCGTTGAAGCTTTCAACACTTCTGCCCATTCACTTTGAATGGGGTGACGTCACTTTTAGCCGAACTGCATTTTGGGAAGCGACGTGGAGCGTTGCTGGCGTTGCTGGCTTCAAAAGTTGAGCAATGTTCAACTTTTGGCGCCTCGGCAGAAGCGTCAGCCAATGAAATCCCGTTTATGCAAATCTGCCAGTACAAGCGCTAGCCAATCAAACCGCGTGTATGCTGGGAGAGACTACGCAGGTCATTTCCTCATATTCCAAAAAATGGAGGGAAAATTCATTATAGCGGTAGAGAATCACCCGGTGCTGTATGATCAGTCTCTGTTCATCTACCGGGATACAAACCGGAGGAGCGAGGCATGGAGGGAGGTGGCAGAGACAGTGGGTGAAACTGGTAGGTTTTCGCCTGTTTGGGGATTTTATATCCAGTTGACTTCGTTTTAACATTGCTATTGCTTTGTATGTCGGGGGCGGGAGATTCATGTGATTGGTTGTTGGTCGCAAAAAATCCCCAAGCTTCAGACACGCCCACCGCCAAGCGTCAACGCACGCTGCTGTGTGGACGCTCCGTAAGTGTACAAACAGTGATCGTACAAACATGCAGAAAACAAGTCGCAACGCTCCTCACCTCAAGCTGCACTGAATACTTTGCAGCAGCATGATTTCACATAATCCAGCTCACTGCTTAGTGGCTAACACAGGCTGCAATGTGGAGCAATATATTTATGACCGAGCGCGACAGCCCCCTGAAAGACAGGAGCTGAATGTCTCTCTCAGGCTTTGGTCTGATTTACTTTGGTGATGAAAACTGCCGGCAGTACATCTTTCATTTGAGTTATTTTACTTAAGGGACTTTACTTGGGTTAGAGTCAAGGTTTAAAAAGGTGGGCTTATGTCAAAGTACAGTTTCAATGATGATTAGTCGGCTAATCACATGAGACATTTTCATACCACTGCTACGCTGACGACACCCAATTAATTCTGTCCTTTCCCCGCTCAGAGACCCAGGTCGTCGCACGCATCTCTGCTTGTCTAGCTGACATCTCTCAGTGGATGTCTGCTCACCACCTCAAGCTCAACCTTGACAAGACTGAGTTGCTCTACCTCCCGGGAAAAGATTGTCCCACTCTTGACCTAACAATCAACATCGGCACCTCAGTTGTTTCCCCGACTCAGACTGCAAGGAATCTGGGTGTGACCCTAGATAACAACCTGTCCTTCACTGCAAACATCGCTGCTACAACCCGTTGCTGCAGATACACGCTTTACAACATCAGGAAGATACGTCCCCAGCTGACTCAGAAAGCGACTCAGGTTCTGGTCCAGGCTCTCGTCATCTCACGCCTAGACTACTGCAACTCCCTCCTGGCTGGTCTACCTGCATGTGCCATCCGACCTCTGCAGCTCATCCAGAATGCAGCGGCTCGTCTGGTCTTCAACCTTCCTAAATTCTCCCACACCACTCCGCTCCTCCGCTGCCTTCACTGGCTTCCGGTAACTGCTAGAATCCACTTCAAGACACTGGTACTTGCTTACTATGCTGCGAATGGATCTGGCCCTTCCTACATCCAGGACATGATTAAACCGTACACCCCAGCGCGTGCACTACGCTCTGCATCAGCCAAACGACTCGTTGCGCCCTCGCTGCGAGGGGGACCCAAGTTCCCATCGGCGAAAACACGTGGGTTTGCTGTGCTGGCTCCAAGATGGTGGAATGAGCTCCCCATTGACATCAGGACGGCAGATAGCTTGCACATCTTCCGGCGCAAACTGAAAACTCATCTCTTTCGACTCCACTTCGAGCGTTAGAACTATTAACGAAGCACTTTTATACTAATAAAGGACTGGCTTATCTAAAGCCAGTTGAGTAGCACTTGAAATGTTTGGCTCTATGAAACCTGATGTACTTATATGATTCTGTTTTCTTCAAGGTTGTATTTTGTTGGTCGAATGCACTTATTGTAAGTTGCTTTGGATAAAAGCGTCAGCTAAATGCAATGTAATGTAATGTAATGTAATGAGACTATTTTGATCAACTTTCATGTGCAAATGGCTGTAAATGCTGCATTAAAGCAAAAAGATAATCTAGAAAATAATCAGCAGATGAATACATAATGAACTTAATAATTAGCAGCAGCTTTTGTCAGAGTTCAACATTTCTAATTTCCTCCAGGCCTATTTTTCAGGATAGATAAACTGAAGAGGCCAAAGTTTCTCAAAAGGACAGATTTCTTTGCAGCATCATGTTTCCTACAAATGTGCGGTTTGCTGAATCAATGTCAGGTTCACACCTGCGGCTGTTTACAATTAGATCAAGACACGGACAACGGCTCTGTTTTTTTGCAGCATCAGCTGGGGTAGCAGCATTATCTGACAGATCAAATCAAATGTGTTTCACCATGCCTGTTATAGTGGATTAACGAATGAATCCAGTGGCGGAAAGTAAACTGTAATGCAATGTTGACAATTAAATGGTTCACAGTTCATTAGTTAGAGCAAAAAACTCTGCAGCTGGTTACATCTAAAAACTGAGAGATGTGAAGCTTCATACTTTTATAAATGTGGGTTTTTGGTAGTTTGCTACGCGAGCATTTTATTAAATAACTAAATCAATAGATGAATCTTTAATGAAAGTAATTATTAGCTTGAGGTCTAATTTAATGAAGAAAACATAATTTCCCAGTCATCAATATTGTTAAATATTTTATACACAATCAGGTCTGGTAAAAAAATCACAACAAATAATCATATTTTCAACATCTGTTGCTAAATGTTTCCTCTCTTCCATGTTGCTCCAGGTCTGAAGAAAAAGAGGAGTGTCGTGTGCTGAAAGCTTCACTATCATGCAAACAGCTCATATTCTCCGCCTCAAAACATTGGACTCGATCCAAGTAGGCCAATCAGCCGAGTCTTATCTGGAACGAGTTTCCTACTGATACCAGTCGCTCTCAGATTTCTCGCAAAATAGCAAACAGATTGCTTATTGTGAGAGAAGCTCTGAAAACATCATGAACGACCATTAACCACGAGTCCAAAATGTGTGTACAGATTTGCAACAATGGATGTTCACTAACAGCCAATTGTGCTTCAAGGTTGGGGATTTTTTAAAGATAATTTTTCAGGCCAGTTATTTGACAAGTAGCTACAACTGGCCCGTAAGTGAGCAAATACAAGCAAGCGAGAAAAGTAGGGCTAGTTAAATATTATTCACTATGTATCGATTGTGTATCAACTTATAGTTCTAAAATTAAAATGTGTTACTCAAGTTTTGACTTATAGAAAAGGGTTCGTACATACCATTAGAAGTATTTTGGTCATATCATGATAGTGTTTACAGTTGTATCTCCAAGCTCTTCTTGGCAGATGAATTGGATAGATTTATGGTTGGAGGTCAACGCTAGTGAGAACAGCCAACTCATTCACCAAGATGCACGATGAGTGCAAATGTTTTCGTCAGTTCACCGAGCAGCCCTTGCACCATAGTACTGCAGCTCTTTGAGACAGCCAAGTCATTGCTGCTGTAGCTATTTTGGGCTGCATCCAGGTCTGCATTTAAAAATACTTGCTTAACAAACTTGAATGGGTAAATTCATTGTGTTTTTGATTAAGTCAATGATACTCAATTCAGTTAAATAGTTCCGCATATACAAAACAATCAGCATTGAGAAGCAATCGTCAGGTATATGTCACAATTTAATTGTATTCTTTGATCACATGTCTAGTTATAGTCATCTGCAGCTCTGTTACACAAATACTGCACACCTCCAGACGGATTACTGTAAGCCAGTGGGTCCCACAGTGAGTGGTCATACCAAATGTTTACTGTGAACAAGGTCGATTCATCTCATTCAATTAGGAATACTGATGATACAGAGTTAAGGAAGTAAAAGTACAAGAAATATTTTACTCGTTATGAGGAAGTCTGACTTGATTTCAAGTTTACTGAAAAAATATCAGTGTCTTTTTTTAAAATATTATTTCTCTAAGATTCAAAATGTCTCCTTCTGTTATCTCTTAAGTTTTGAATCATCTACTGTAACCACACATGAACATGGTTGCAAATTAATCTTGAAAATAATAGTAACTTGGGTAAAGAAAATAATAGGAAAAATACCTTGAATTGAATGCATGAGATGATATGAGATATGCAGTGTACCAGCCAATGTTGATGGTATACAAATATTTATCCCACACTGAAACAAAGATGATAGTTATGGATGACCAGCTTTAGTACAAACACAGTAAATGCATATAAAAGCAATAGTGCTTTCAGATTAACAATTCCGTATAAACAACCACTATGCCAGTAGAAAAAAAGGTAAGAAACAGTAGTTCAAATGAAAAATATAAAAGATCATCACAAAATGACATCCCAGACTCTCTATGTGATGGATTCAACTGTTTTGAAAAAACACAGCCTGACAGCACACACTTCTACATCTCGACATCCTCACAATCCCCATCCAACAGGTAGTTTTAAATAGCAAATTAGCAATTATAAACGCCAAAAAATACATAAATGTTACCAGATCATCCACAGGCTCCGCACTCAAAACAGATCCTCAGGAAAGCAAAACAAATCCCAATCTAACACAGTGCACCGACACTCACGTAATCCTTCATTCCTATTGGTCAAGCAGAGACAAGGTCCGGCCTCCAGGCGTTCCAGAATGGCCGCTACGACTGTCAATCACGGCACCTACTTCATTTTAATCAGCCCTTTTCAATCTAGGTTGAGGCAGAAGATAAACAAGTTGGAGGCCTACATGCCCGTGGCCTAGATAGCTTTATTAAAAGAGATATTTAACGTAAAATCTACAAAGTACTATCAAAGAACTCGAACACAACACCATACGTCAATCCGTGACATTCATACATAACATGAAACTGCCGAAGTCCGTAGATACAGTTATAAAACTATGTTTTGGTGGGAAACCAAACAAACGAACATCATATAGATATTGATACTTAGTTTATTTCACCAGTGGAGACATAAGATTGATTCAACTGTATTTCTAAATTACATCTCATGGAAATTTCTGGCTGTGTCGAGCCTCTTTTTTCAGCACCAATGGCTGTGTCATGTGTTGGGGGGGGGGCGTGTTCCTCACAGAGAGCTCGTGCTGTCCTTAAAAGACCTCTCTGTTTGGCATTGCACAGAGGTATTCTACCCCAAACACAGTTCAATTGTGTTTTTGACCGACTAAAATCTCATTGCCAAAAAAAAACCGAATTGAATTAAGAGGAAATAAATATTGGAAGAGGTGTGGCATTCTTTGGATAGCTTAAAAGTCGAGAAAAATCGTTTTAAAGAAGTGTAGGTTTGAACCATATGTCATGTTACAACGTGATAGAAAAAAACGGACTAATTAAATGACGAAAACAATATCAACAAAATCTGCGGGACCTTAATTTTTTTACATTTAGCGCTAAGACTCGTTTTGAAGCCTGCGTCAGTTGCATTCTGTGCATTCCTGCAGAACGCTTAATTCACTAAAATACACGTTAATTGTATATATTGCCCTAAACAGTTTTCTTTTAAATGCGAAAACTGACAAATCTTGCTTGCTTTTCTCCATGCACCTCTCACTCAGTATGGCCTCCGTCCGCCCCCTTCCTCATGCAGCTGCACACACAACAACAGCCTGTCGTTAGCTTCACAGCTAATCCTGCACCGCAGAGAAAACACATATCTGCTCGGCAAACTTCCTCTAAAACGGCTGAATAACACTCTTACCCACTTTTAAGGCGCCCACGCATACATCTCGCAAGGTGTCGGTTCTCTTGTGTGTTGCTCTGTTGGAAATAACAAGGCCGTATTTTTCAATGGAGTCCACACGCTGCTACAGTTCTCTCTCGGGTTTGTTTTGTTTTTCTTCTTCCTGACGGGTTCTTGGAAAACGCGTGACTACCCGACCACGTGGTGCGGTGCTGGGCCAATAGGAGCAGAGCTCAGGGGGCTGGGCTGAAAACATTCGTGCAACATTTCACCAGTTTCAATATACTGAAACAATGCTGTAATGAAAGTAATACTAAAGTGCAGGTCCCCACATCTACTTAACATCATTTTGATTAAAACAATCTTTATTTTGTTTAGTTTGCTATTGAATTATTTTAATTAAAGTCTGTGTCAAAGCATTTCTGCCATCATCTGCCAGGAGTACAACATGTACTTGTGGAGGGAAAGTTTAAATTCACTATTTGATAACCTGTATTGCATTAAAGTGGCAATTAGGAAATGTATTGCTGTGATGGCTATAGAATAATATTACTTTATGTGTTAAAATTCCCTATAAGACTCACTTTCACTAAGATTTCTCTCATCATCCAGCAAAACAAAAAAGGATCTGGTTGTCATCGAGACAGCTCAGCTCAGGGGGGAAAGTTGTCTGTTTCCAATTTAAAGGTAGGGAGCTTCTGACCTCTAGTAGTACCCTGGTGCAAGTGTTTCTGTGAGTTTTGAGCAGCCTTTTGTCTGTTATCATGCAAAAGGACACACATGCATGTGGGTGACAATATAAACATGTATGCCGACAGTTTAACAAACTTCCACGGATTTAAAGGTGGCAATCGAGCAAGAATAAACAACAATACAACTTTTTTTTTTAAATAGCAAGACAACAAAGTAGACTGATCAAAAATGTGTAGCCTGAAGCTTATTGCACTAGTTGAATTTATTATATTGTTTTAATGTTATTAAATGTACGGACTGAAGAAACAAGGTCAGTGCAGTTCAAATAATACACAAGGTATACTGGTCTCACTCAAGATTACATTAGGGAGAGCTTTGGTCCACTCCTGCGTATGTTGTGGTCCCGCATTAGATTATCAAACTGATCCTTAAACCAGACATCCCATTCTGCCCAAGCCTATTTTAGGTGATTGTCTCCCTCTAAAAGTCCTCCTTGCAGCGTAGGGCAGGCAGACATCCCTAAAGCTGAGGAGAGAGATCATTCAGAGTGGTAGGCGATTACACCACACGTCAGGTGTGGTTCTTTTAGACCAACCAGGTGAGGAAGTATAGAGCTAAGAGGTCTTCTTTAAAGGATCCTGGAACCTCTGCGTATTTGACAACATTTGGCTCAGATCCCCAGGAATCACTTACACCTGCTTGTGACACTCAACTACCTTTTCATCCACCAGTTAAGTGTGTTCTCTACATGCTGTGTTTACCAACCAGGATAATACTTTGTAAGTCTTTTCCACTGCTCATATGTATAATTGTGTATTCTTGGATGTATTGCATGTGTCCTGTCTCTCTTATGCTGCCACATGATGTATCTGATGGGTTGTCTGTCCTCTTCGAAAAAGAAAAACATTAAAATATTGTGATTCACAAAAAAAGAGGGGAATTTACTCAGCAGGTCTGTCAGGCCCCAAGGATTCAAAAACTGCATTTAGGTGAGTAACGCTGAATGTAAACGGAGACTTAGTTTACTTTCTATATGCTTAACATTGATCTCTTTACTATATTTCTGTGCATATTTCTACCTCATATGTGAACGTTCTCCCATTCCTTGGACAGTTTTGCAAACTTTTACACATAGATACCATTCCAAATAAAAATGCACAGCTCTTTTGTTTGAATTCAGCTAAATATTTAGCATTTCTATACATATTTTATGTATAGCAGCTTTATATTGTAGTTTCAGTCTGCAGCTAGCTTTCATTTAAATTCCGACATATTTTTTCCTTTCTCATTTTCTTCTGTTCTTTATGTGTCTTGAATTATTTCTTTTCCTCTTACTATGTCTACCTTATTCAGAATAACAAATCCCTTGTAAGTGAAAAACTACTTGGCAATAAATCAGAGCCCCCCCACCAAAAAAATGAAGGTTGCATTCATTGATTATTTCTAAATAGCATTCAGTCGCACCAGTGGAAAAAATAAGTTAAAACAACTGCCTGATTCCCATAAACTGATGAACATGGTACAAATCTCCTTTGATCTCTATTCAAAGTAAATAATTTAGCTTTTCCAGGCGGTGCCGCCCTTCTTCAGTGGAAAGAGAAACATTATGACTCAGTCATCCACATGTGATAAAAAAGACAAACAAATAGCATACATTCTAAAAACAAAGAACGTTTCGTTTTTAGAGGGAGAAAAGGTCACAGAGAAAGAGACATCACTATTTTCAGTGTGACTCAGCTGCCTTAAGTCATACAAAACAGCCACAGCAACGGACAAAATAACATCACAAGATGCAGGAGGAAATATCTGACCTCCGACCTCCATCCTGCAGCTGACAGAAAGTGAGAGGATCTTCCTCTCTATAAGTGCAGCTCTGCAGGCCTGCACTGCATCGATCAACAACAGAGAGCTCTGCCAGGCTGGAGAAGCATGTGAGAGGATCACTATCGTAGAGAACGGGATGAGAGTGTGTGTGTTTTTGGTTAGTGTGTGAGAGATTTGGAGAATTTGTGAGCTTCTTCAGGAATAAGACGTATTTTACAATTAGTTCTTGCAGGGCAAAACACATATCAGTGTGTTCTGGCTTACTACATAAGTATTTTCTTTTTAAATCACTACCTTATGTTATTATTTTTTGTTTAAGTGTTGTAATTTGGTGCTATACAAATAAACCATAATATTATTATCTTCATTCATTGTAAGCGTTAACCCTCTGGAGACTGGATTATTTAACGTTTGTTTTTATGTCTTCACTCCACATGCGTGCATTTTTAGCACAAACTCAGCTGTAAGACTTATATTTTTGTATAAAGTATAAAATTGCCAGAAACACCAAATTACAAGAAAAATGATATTGGTGCCTTTAAAAATCCCAGTATTTAGGTGATATTTACGCAAAATATTACGATAGAATATTTCAAGGTTGAAAATAATTAAGTTTCACTTTCAACACATGCCATTAAATATGGACATTTCTAAAAGATAAAGCCGTGCCGCAATGAATTCATATGTAAAATGATAGGGCCTTTTTCAATGCATGTTTATGTACCATTGTAAATCAATGAACATATGGTAAAGGTTAATTGAAAATATGTTTTGTTTAAAATGTTGTTTATTATGTATTAAGTTGTTTATTTAACACAGGGGTTCCCAACCCCCGGTCCGCGGACCGGTACCGGGCCGCAGAGGTGTTACTGCCGGGCCGCGAAATAGCTGTGAGTTTATCGTAATATTTTCAGAATTATAAATATATAAAAATATTTTATCATAATATTTTTTTTTTTCAAGTGTTTAATGTTCGCACTATACCAGCCATATTATTTCATTCAGTAGCCTAGTTAATCTTTCACCAGATAACCGTTGAAAATGGCTTTTATGATGTTCCGAGGGATTCGGCGGCTCAGCCTGGTCTCAGCCTCTTGTGCTCACGAGAAAGTTACCGGTGCGCCAAGTAGGAAGAGGAGCGCACAGACAACCGTTTAATTGCAGACTGTTATGTTTATGTGGGGAAATGGCAGTGCATACATTATGTGAGATATATTTCAAACCCGGACTTCATTTTAAGGACATGTCGGCCAGGGGTGTAGAGCTATATGTTTATTTTATTAGCTTTTCTTTTTAATGACTGATTTTAAATGCCATTTTCTTAATGTCTTTCATTTTTTTGTAAAGCACTTTGAATTGCCTTGTGTTGAAAAGTGCTATATAAATAAACTTGCCTTGCCTTGCCTTTGTTTAAGCACCGGATTGGCAAAACAGGAGAGTAACCCAGTCTGCCTTGATCTATGAATTCATGTACGGGACTATGGAGTCAGATTTGGGTCAATATTCTCGCGCGTAAAACAAGCTACTCACGAGCGGAAAATGTGCTTTTACACGCACATAAAATGACCCTCGCGCGCAGATTAAACCCCCGCGAGCGGCTCTGCGCTCGCTCGCGAGAGAGACAGCCCTCTTGCTTGCTCGCGGGAGTGTCAGCCTCGCGGAGTCTGTCTACGCGCGTGTGAAAAGTTTCTGGCACTTTGGGGCGGAGCCACTGGACTTTGATTGACAACTGCCAGGAAACCCGGGGTTGCCAGGTTTGATAAATGCCTGAACTGTATGGAGTCAGATTTGGGTCAATATTCTCGCGCGTAAAACAAGCTACTCACGAGCGGAAAATGTGCTTTTACACGCGCATAAAATGACCCTCGCGCGCAGATTAAACCCCCGCGAGCGGCTCTGCGCCCGCGAGCGGGTCTGCGCTCGCTCGCGAGAGAGACAGCCCTCTTGCTTGCTCGCGGGAGTGTCAGCCTCGCGGAGTCTCTCTACGCCCGCGTGCAAAGTTTCAGGCACTTTGGGGCGGAGCCACTGGACTTTGATTGACAGCTGCCAGGAAACCCGGGTTGCCAGGTTTGATAAATGCCTGAACTACCAAGAGCCGAGCAGTGACAGCAGCAAAATCAGTTGGACGAGATTGAATGGTAAAGTTGTCCATAAAAAACTATTATATTCGTAAAGTGTACAGCTAATATATATATATATATGATTCTGTTTTCTTCAAGGTTGTGTCTTCCTGGTCGAATGTACTTATTGTAAGTCGCTTTGGATACAAGCGTCAGCTAAATGCAATGTAATGTAATGTAATATACATTAATTTAATATAAAACAATATATTTTTCAGTGGGCTGTGTCCGTCGAAAACTGCTAGCTACTGTCTGCTGTACGCTCCTAGATTTTGCTGCCGTCACTGCTCGGCTCTTGGCAGTTCAGGCATTTATCAAACCTGGCAACCCCGGGATTCCTGGCAGCTGTCAATCAAAGTCCAGTGGCTCCGCCCCAAAGTGCCAGAAACTTTTCACGCGCGCGGAGACAGACTCCGCGAGGCTGACACTCCCGCGAGCAAGCAAGAGGGCTGTCTCTCTCGCGAGCGAGCGCAGAGCCGCTCGCGGGGGTTTAATCTGCGCGCGAGG